TGTTAAAGAATACTGCAAAAACTAACATTTTTCATTAACAATTATCAGAATGATTTTTCTTAATTACTTTTCATCGCATTAAAATTCAACAAATATTACAAATAAGGAAAAAATATATAAAAAAAAACACAATTTCCTACTGAATAATGTTTAATACGTAGTTGATTTAATTAAAATAATTTGTTAGACCTATAAAAATGTTTTGCTAATAAATCTGATCAAATTAAAAGAAGTTTTTTTGTTAATTCTTTGTAATTAAAAATATTTTCAATTATTTCCAAAAATTTACTTGAACTTATAATTTTCCACAGCATACTTGTACACTTATTTGGAAAATATATTGACTTTTATTGTTGCTATGTAACCGATACTCAAAATTTTAAATAGAAGTAAAGTAATAATACTTAAAAAACAAAATCCATCCACTTTTTTTTTGAAAGCCAAAAGTAGTAAAATTATCAAATTCTTAAATATAAGCAAAGTTCATTTTAGTTAAGTAAATTAATTATATGAGAGTAATCTATTTATTAGTTAGCGATTTATTTATATTTTAAAACTGTTACGAATTTCTAGCAAAAATAGATGAACAGACGTAAAATTCTGTTATTTAGTCTTCGGAAAAAAAAACCATCAATAATAATGGAAGTTGAAATCAATGTTTCATTCTCCACAAAATGTAATTATCGTTCCATTCCGGTTTGTGAAGCATACTCGGTTTATATGTGCAGAATGCCCAAAGTCATCAAAAAGTTATCATTCAAACTTCTCGCATTTTTTTTATCAGTTTACGTAACGTATTTTAAACTTTCTTGATTGATAGATTGATTTTTTTTTATTATCATTCCATTACATAATTCTGCAGAAAGTTTGGAGTTTGGTCTGATTTGTTGTTAGTAGATCTGATATATTCAAGTAATCTTCATTGTAATACTCCAAATATAAATGTTAACTATACATTAATAAAATTTTGAAAGATATTTATAATTGAGAAAAACAAACAAAAAAATTATTAAAATAAAATATTTTTTATACATAAATTTAGTTCGTCAATTAGTCCTCTTTTCCATTAGTTTCAGAGGTACAAAATATATCAAATACTAAGCACACTAAATTACTTTACATTAATTCATTACAAGCAAGTTTCGTAAATCAAGTAGTTTGTTTTTTAAATGCCACTACATAAAACTTTCATTATTTTATTTACAAAAAAATAGGTAAACTAGAGGTAAAATCAATGTTCACTTTTCACAAAACGCAATTAGCGTTCCGTTCCGGTCAGCAAATCTCGCTCGGATTATATTCGCAGCGTTCCTGAAGTCATCAAAAAGTTATCATTCCAACTTCTCGCAATTTTTTTTTTGGTCCTCATATTCTGCAACGTATTTTTAAACTTCATTGCAATTCGCTTCGTATGTTATGAATATATTTATATATATATTTTAAAGTAATTATAAAGTTATAGATATAAAATTGCATCAAATATAAATCTCTGTATATATTATTAGTTTGCAATTATAAATTAAAGTACAGAAATATCTCTTGTTTGTGTACGTACTTCCTCGATTAGTCCGGTTTCAAACAATCTGGGATATTGACGCAACTGATTACTATACCATTTGTATAACAATGGATTAAAAGATATAAAAGAGAGAGAAAATCTATATGATTAAGCAAAATTTAAATATACCATCAATCATCTCTATTTACAATCATATTTCTTTGGCATCACGTTTAAGAGAAAACTGTAAATCTTTCAGTTGTGAAAAGGAGCGACAGGAATGTCTGCAATTTTCCAATATTATAATTAATGAGTTAGAAATATGCATTATTATATCATCAATAATATTACTATCAATTTGAAGCAAAATACGTTTATTTCTAAATCTAATAATATAATTACAAAAACACAATTCTTATATAATTTGATATATTATATTTACAATTATCACAACCTAATTATAAAAATCTTGTATTAATTTCATTGATTAAGTCAAAGTTTCAGCAAGGAAATTTGCTTTGACAGATTTATTAAAAAAAAAAACTGAAAAACTAGCAATTTTCACAACAGGAAATTTCTTAAAATAATATTTAACTTACTACTTTATAATACCTTGAAAACAATGTTTTTCCTTAAACACTAAAGCAAGCGTTTATACCTTTTCATACCGTTATTTCCTTCTCCTATTTTCTTTTCTTAGACTATTCGATGCATTCCCCTCTGGCAAACTCCTTCTTGCTTGTGGTTCCACTCCAAGAGTTTCGTGCACACACACACTTCGAATAATAGTTTCTTCGCCTCAACTCACCCACTTGACCCGTTTCTTTCACACAAATCCATCATCGTTCATATCGTCATTACGATGAAATGCATTCCATCTTCCTCTACATGACATTTAAACATTTTCTTTTACGTAAAAATCAGCGTTTTTGTTTTGTTTGACATAATTTTTTGTTTTTCTTTTATCTCTTAGACATTTTTATATTTTATAGATTTCTGTATAAATTCACAATGTAAATTTCAAGTTGTTTTTTTTTATAATTATTAATCAACATTTTAAAACGTTTAGTTTCTTTGTCAAATTGGAATTTTGCAGTATTCTATATAATTTGTCCACATCCAGTGTTTTTTTATAGAATCGTTTTGATTCTGTCTTTATATTTTGTCTTATAGCAAAGTTGCAGAATCCTGTATAATTTGTCCACAACTATGCAAATGTCATTTACTAAATTTAAATAATTTTTTTTGGTATTCTGACATAATCAATTTGATTTTGTTTCTTTTTCTTGGTGATATATGAATATTACAGTATTCTGTAAAATTTGTCCACATTTATGTAAATGTCATCTACTAACGTTTAAATAATTATTTTTACGTCAATTAAACACGTTTTTTAGTTTCTCTTAAAATAGTTTTTTTTTGTCATATGGAAATTTTGCATTATTCTGTATAATTGTGTCTATGCAAATTCTCGTGCTGGCCTTTTTCGAATTATCAAAGCAGAAATGGTTTATTATGCAACGGCGTTTTACCACAGGCCCCAACAAATTCAAATAGGATTGGCAATTTGTGCAGCAAAACCACGTTATACTAGAACTTTCCCTCAACTTCATCGTTTCCCACCTTTTGAACCCACACGAACTTCGTGCATCATAACATATCTATTGATTACAATAGAACGATAAATTGTTTATTCAGTATACACTATGTAATAATTGATTGATGATCTTCGTAATTTAGCATTTTACTTCAAATGTTCCAAAATTGAAAATGAATAGAAATTAATGAAATATTTTTTTTTATTATAAACATTGAATAAATTTCTTGCAGGATGAATGAACTTGAAATGTTATTTTTGTGTCGACTGTAAAGAATCGTCAACTCCTTTATAGTACAACTTCCACTCGAGATATAATCCAGAAATAAATGCTTCGAATAGGAGAGAAAACCTATAAATACTTGTTCTAAAGTATCGTCTATATATCATCCAGGTTGCATAGATACATTGAAAGATGATGAAGGGTAGTTTTCCTATTCCGTTTCTTTATTATTCTTTGCCATGAAACATTATACACGTCTGGAAGCCTCTCTCTCTTTCTCTCTATATATCTTCGCCGTATTCCTCTCTTTCTCTCTGCACAGTAATCGCAGCAATCGCACTATAAATTTATGATGGCACCGTAATAAAACGGTTTTTGGAGTTTACTGGCCTTCTGGGAGTGTCGTCCAAATCCGGGATCGTTCAACTTAAACCATCCTCCCTCCCAATTTAATCACCAGACTGGAGATTGCAATACCGGCGGATCCCTGTCAATTTTTCGCTGGATGTTTGCTGACTCTAATAAAAGCAATACCAATTACTGAAAAAGCATGCAATCTCGTATAGACGTAGTCTATGCATTCGATATCACTGCTCATCCGCGAAATATATTGATAAGTTAAAGTACTTATTCTAATATCTGTAAATGATTGAAACCAAATTTACTTTAATCAAGTTTATGACAATTTAGTCTGAAGCAGATTTATTTCAGCCGCATAATATAATCATTGTATTAAAGATTATCATTAACCCGGACGAGCGGCGGTTATATCCGCCTTATTCTTTTCGCATAAGAATTAGCTCATGCAAAATTGTAAAGCCACTCTGATGATTTTTATTTATTATTTTAACGTTACTTCTGTAGAGTCACAACTTGTGTTACCGAAATATTCCACAATATAATAATAGACAGCAGTTTCACAAAAACCATTTGTAAAATCTCAGCCCGTCTCAGGGTTAATAATATATTGTAATAAATAATTTAACTTTAATTTTAGAGTCCAATACTTTTAGCAATTTTTAAGTACAAAAAAGTAGATTTACCAATTGACATATTTGCGTATAATATGAATCAAGTATAATTATTCTAAAAAATCTTGTGCTTATGTCTTTTGGTATTGAAATATTTCTTATTCTTCTGCAAGTTTCAGTCACGCTGTTACAAAACATTAAATATATCTAGATTACAAACTGAACCACCAAAAACGTTTATATGTATTTATTTAAAGCCTTCTCCCATAAATTCTAAACATTTATATAAAATTATAACTCAAATAACATAAGTTCGAAACTTTAAAATATCCAAGCAGTTTGTGTACATTCCAACATAATTAAGAAAATACAAACTAAATTACCGAGATTTTTTTTGTTTCATGGAATTTCAGTTAATATAAATATTTAAATGGAAAACACTTTTTTGATAATTAATTTATAGTATTTCTTACAACAATTTCAATATCTAATTATATTTAAATTACCAATCTTTGGACAAAATGTTTTCATGGACATCAAAAAGTTGATTTTAATTAAAATGAAATTCCATAAGCACTTTGACTATATCAAGAGTCAAAGTGTACATATATAGACTTCAAAGGAGAAATTATTTATTGAAGTACTAGAAGTATGAAAACGCAGTCTATTTGATGCGATTTTGATGAAGAAGCTCTGATTTACTGCTTGCAGGAAGGCGAGGTGGCTTCTGGTAGACTATTCTCCGCAGTTCGGGGTCGGTTAAAAAGGGTGGCAGCTTCGTTGCAAGCTGCCATCAGGTTCAGAAGGTTCTCACGTCGCGAAACCCGACCGCCAGATTGGTTCGTAGACAGGAGCCAACAGCAGGACAACGTCGATAGTGCAGCCGATAAATCGGAGTCTCGACACTGCTGGGGTCGACGCATCGTCGTGGATCCAACCCTACCATCCCACTACAAGGTAACAAAATGTTAAACGAAAAGAAATAAACTAAAACTAAAAAAAAAAACAAGGACGACGAACGATTCGAACTTTCTAGTTTCGACAATGATAATTATTGTGATTGCGGCCGGTTACAGTTAAAGAACCACCAGCATAACAAAAGCTCGCAATGGTTCGTCCGTTGCTTCTGCTGCGTTCCCCAGGACGACATGATTCATATCACAAACAATTCGTATACGAAGCTGGTCCGTCCTAAATAATAAATATACACGAACGAATTTAGAATATTGATTCAATTTGTTAACACTCTATCGTTCTATGATTTTAGTGGCTGATCGTGGTGTCCCTGGCCGTTCTCTACAACGTCATCTTCGTGCTGGGTCGAGCCGTCTTCTGGGAACTCAACAACGCCGTTCAACCCCTGTGGTGGAGTCTGGACTACATTTGTGATATCATTTATATTGTGGATACATTAGTGCGAGCGCACGAAGGTCAGTTCTAATACACTAATTGTCCATCCAGATCTCTATTGCTGCACTTAGGTTTAATAGTAGCAATACGTTAAGTTAAGTTTGTGTGTATGTGTGTATTTACATCTGTTTGCTTTTTTTTTCTTTGCTCTTGCAAATCCCTTGTGCCCTTTTGGCCGTGAAGCAGACTTGCATGTCTCGCGTGCTCCGTTCATATAAAACTTATCCCAGATGTAGCTTAATTAGCCCTAAATATTGGTAAACACGCGAATCATCCGCGTATTAATTACTTTCGATTATTAATATCCCCTCGAATCGTTCCTACCCATCCCGTACAAACAATCCAATTATCACACGCACACACGCCAGCAAACGTCCATTGAATTATGGCTGCATAGAATGCCAAGAAATTGTACTGCTAATAAAGGCAGGCCGAATTTATTGGACGACCGTTTTCTTTCCGTTCATTTTTATTTTTTTTTAATTTTTTTTTTCATTCAGGATAAATTAAATTTAATTATATTTGCACGAGCGTAAAAGGATAATTGCCGCCAGTTACGCCTTACTTCCTTTTTTATTTTCCTGCGAAGGCGAAAACGATGATTTACTATATATATTCCACGAGTACTGTTTCTTCCTTCCTTCCGTTATTCCATCATCGTTCTATCCTTCCAGCGCGAAAGTTACATCGATTCCGACATGATTAACGGCGTCGCAAATATTTCCACCGAGATGGGGGTGAGGGTGGAACGATTTGATTGATGTGTCTTCCCCTCGCAACGCACGTAACAATAACCCCTCGCGAGGATTTAATCGCTCCTCAATTTTTTTTTGATGTACGCGTTTCACGTGATAAAATTGTAATTCACCTGAATTCAACCTCGTATCTCAGTAAAAAAAACTTTTTCAGTAATTGCTCTATTTTTTATTTCAGTCTACATACAATATTAATTATCATTTAAACAAAAGAGTTTCCATGGTTACGCTTAAAATATAAACATATATTCTTAAATTAATAATTTATGCTGGTATTCGAATAACTTCAACAGCTCGAAAAGTGTTAATAACTACATTTCACATTACACGTACCATTACATATTCAAATTTGATTACCTTTCAAATAACTTTTGAGAATTAAGTACAGAATTACCTCACTTACTGTGGATTTACTATATTTCAAAAGAAACTAAGTTTTAATTGAGCAAAATGAAAATAAATTCTAAAAAATTTGTACACAAAATGTATAAATAAATATAATCATTTCTTTTCACTTTATACAGACTATTTTAGTGCTGATTCAATCAAATCATGTGATTTCAATGATAGATTTATATTGAAATGTTTTAATTATTTGACATTATTATTTTTTGATAAAAAAATCTCTTATTTATGATCAAAAATTTAATTTTAATGTTAAAATATATATAACATACAGATTTCATTAAGAAATATGTTGAAAACGTAGCAATATTAAAATAAATTAATTTATCTTTATATAAAATTATTGTCGTATGTAAATATTTATCGTTGTTAAATTACATATGGTTATTGTAACATTTGTAGGAGAGCGAACCCGCAGCAATTTTAGAAGCCAACTAAGCATTACTAAATAATGCAGACGTTTTCCCTCGAACTACATTAGCAGATACGAAAATCTTCCCTCCAGAGATTTCGTCCATCCGTTTTCTCATTCTCTTTTCCATTTTGCATGGTTATTTACATTCATTTAATCGCATCTATGATCAACTTAATCTGATACTGTTGTAATTTACATAAATTTTGGTGAAAAACATATGAAGAAACCGGATTAATCGAGGAACTAAACAGACTGTATAAAGGGGAAACATTTTGTATACTACTTTTTAGAACCGCACTATGCGAGGTATTTTAGTTAAAAAAATGTTCATTATTTTTAGTGTAAATTATGAAATAAACAACGCAATGAAACGAGTACAAAAGTTATGTAATTTGTTAGTATTTTATTAGGTTAAAGATTGAGCGCAAATAAATTAATAGTACTTTTGTATTCATCAAGTAATGCTCTTTGTCAATGAGCAAATTGTGACCCGAACATCTGACCTTTCGCATCTATTGATTACGCAATGCTTTGTATGTGAATTTATTTTCTAAATAGAATCATGTTAAATTATTAATTAAGTAAAATGTTTTGTCGTCGGTCGGTACAGGTAATTGTTCGTTCGTTTTGATACTGTTCGCTTTTAATTAAAACTTTTTTTTAAATTAACTTTTCAATTTTACATTTACATGTAAAACAAGTACTAATATGAAAAGTTAATTTGTTTAATATAAATGAAACAACTTTTATATTGAGTGAAAACGTCAATCATAACAGATTACGCTATTATTTTATGTGCTGGCAAATCTGCTGCATATTTATGCAAGCTAAATAATGTATATTTCACATCGGGTGACTGCTTACAAAAGTTAAGCAACGTATGTTGCGGATAGTACTTGGATTATGGCCAACTAGGAACAAATAGAAAGGCATTCGATAGAATATGAAAAACACGTCTTACCGTTGCGCATGCTGTATGTATGTGAATCATTATGTGGCATACAATACCTCGCATAGTCCGGATAATCGATTCCGCCAATATCCAGGACTATTTGAAACCGTATACAAATATAATATGAAATAAAGAGACTAGACTGTATAAAATAAAAACACGATCATTTATATATAATTTTTCTATAAAATTTATTTTTATTTTAAAATTCAATTAGTTTTGAAATTCTCAAACTTGCAGAATATAATTTATTTTTAAAATAAGTCATTTTAAACATAAACTATTGTATCCGTAAATTTGTTAGCATAATCATTTTAATTGTAACAGAACGAAACTTTACAAAGTTTCAGTAGCGTGAATCATCCAAAGTTTTAGTTAGATCTAATAAAATGATGTTATAAATTTACGGATATATTATATATTTCTAACGCAAATATTAACAGTTCGGAAATTGAATATTTTAATAATTTTGGAACGATATCAAATTCTCACTCAAGGAAATCTTAATTAATATTGTAATCTAAGTAATATTATACAATACGGTAGCAATTAAACATGTTTTTTATTGGTGGTGGGTCTTTTCTTGTCTGGCGAAAGGGTTTAAAAGGGTTTTGGGACTGGACTATATTGATATTTATTGCATCCATTACATTTCAGTAGAGCAATGTGTTTTAGACAGAGAATTATTACAGCTTAACAAAAATAAAACAATTAAAATTACATAAAGTACTATAGTATGACATTATAAGTCATTGGTATTTTAATTAATAATTTTACGATAATTCATTTGTAAACGTCTATTAGATATATCATGATAGCACAGTTTCAATTACAGCTATTAAGAGTTTTTTTAAGAAAACCAGTAGTGACGCCTCACAGAACTTCATGTCTTATATCATGCATAGTATGGATGTTTCAATGTACATTATGAAAATACATGTTGCTATATTTTTGTATTTTGCAATATCATTTTTCTGTTTTATCGTGTTTCCATCGCTGCCTCGTTTTGTTCGTGCATTCGCTCTATTTTGCTCACAGCTCATTGTCTCTTCCTGGAGGTTAACCCCTTCCGCAACAGTTAACAATGGGTCGTCGCTCTCATCGCACTGCATCTTATGTCCTCAGGTTATCTAGAGCAAGGACTTCTAGTCACGGACCCCCAAAAACTGCGGAGCCATTACTTCCAGTCGAAGAGATGGCGAGGCGACATCCTGTCTCTGCTTCCCACGGACGTCGCCTACTTCTGGTGGTCCCCGTACGAGTGCCACGAGAAGGTGCCTTGCCCGGTCATAGTGCGTTTGAACAGACTTTTCCGGTTACCCAGACTGCTCGAGTGGTTCGAGAGGACAGAAACCGATACGAACTATCCGAACGTTTTCCGCATCTGCAAAGTGGTTCTCGCCATCCTCGTTCTCATCCATTGGAACGCGTGCCTGTACTTTGCGATAAGCTACGCCATCGGATTTGGCTCGGACAATTGGGTCTACAATCTGGACGGTCCGAAGAACTCGACGCTTACGCGACAGTACATCTACAGCTTCTACTGGTCCACGTTGACGCTGACGACGATCGGGGAGACGCCGGTACCTGAGAACGACGCTGAGTACCTCTTTGTCGTCGCCGATTTCCTTGCAGGAGTGCTGATCTTCGCCACGATAGTCGGCAACATCGGATCGATGATATCGAACATGAACGTTGCGAGAGTCGATTTTCAGAACCGCATGGACGGGGTGAAGCAGTACATGGCTTTCAGGAAGGTCGGCAGGGAGCTGGAGGGTCGTGTGATCCGGTGGTTTGCGTACACGTGGGCCGAGAGCGGTGCTCTTGACGAGGAGCGCGTACTTTCCGCCCTTCCGGATAAACTGAAAGCGGAAATAGCCATTAGGGTCCATCTCGACACGCTCCGAAAGGTGCGCATCTTCCAGGACTGCGAACCCGGACTACTCGAAGCTCTTGTCCTCAAGTTACGACTTCAGGTGAAACACGCAACTTTTAATTACTCTCTTTCCTTTTCGCTTCTTCCATTCCAATATTTACTATTCTACCCGAACGTTCGACAAACTTCTTCCCTACCAACAATTAATGAAATTACTGACAACCAATATTTGAACAAGTTACAATTTGCACTAAATCAAGAAGCGCATCAAACAATTTAAATTTATATTCTATTAGTATATTATATATATATATTTAATCTATTAGTAGTTAATCTTTATACACACATTTATTTGAAATTAAACCTAAATATTTTTTAAAAGTGATAAGTATTAATACAACACCACATCTTATGTCTGCTAGATGTCCTATATCTCGGGGGAAATAGCCGAAGTCCAACTGTATTAAAACAACAGTTTTTTTTCATCAAATTGCTTTAGAAATATTCTTAGTGGACATTTCGATGTCAAAAATTTCCTCATATTGTGGAAAGACAATAGAATTCACAGAAAAAAACTGAATTGTTTTGACTCTTTTAACGTTTTAAGGTTTTAAACTATTTTTTTTTCAATTATTCCCACTAATAAAGTAAACAGGACTATTTAAAAAATCACTTCTTTTGAGACAATTATTTATTAATTATAAAAGCATTTATATTATATGTTAGTATTATAATAATTATTTTGTTTTAATTCTTCATTGAAGCATTTTGATTTGTCAAGATTTTTGTTGTCTTCTTGGGTAATTTTTTCATTTGAAGAAATAGAATTAATATTTTTCAGGTTTCTTTCAAGTAAATTAATTGAAATATAACTGTTTTAGGTGTTCTCGCCGGGCGATTACATTTGCAGGAAGGGCGATGTGGGTAAGGAGATGTACATTGTTAAGAGGGGTCGTCTTCAGGTGGTGGCAGACGATGGTGAAACGGTGCTTGCTACTCTCGGTGCCGGCTCAGTATTCGGGGAGGTGAGCGTCCTGGACATCGCAGGGAACAGGACCGGAAATAGACGCACCGCAAACGTCCGGGCCTTGGGCTATTCCGATCTATTTTGCCTCGCCAAGGATGACCTGCTGGTGGCCTTAGCTGATTACCCCGAGGTATGCACACGCAATTTACTTAAACTAATGAGAAACTTTTCGTCCTCCCTCTGCGAATCCTTGAACGACAAACATCCTCTTCGCTACTCCGCGACTCCGTCGTCGAATTAATTGCTTCACCTTTAAGACTTTTAATGTATTCCTCAAATGTAAAACTTTCCCATGGCCAATCGATATCCACCCTCTCTCTACCTTACTAAATAACATATTACACGACGTTCCACCGAACGCAGTGCCACTCTAATCTCTGTTGCATCTCTCAACATCCCTTAAGAGACATACTAGACTACTTTGCACTAGATTTGTATAGATACAACTAATATGTACTGCTAAAATATGTACTGTTTCTATAAATATGAAACACCCTTAAGAAACTTTACACCAGATTCGTATATAAAGATTGCTTAAATATGTAACAAACGTAAATAACAGTCATATGTTTACTTCTTATCGAGGAAATGCAATAAAAAAAAAAGTTCCACTGAATCAGTTGTGATAGTACTCTTAATGGTGGAGCATGCTGATAAATTGGGATTTGGGGTTGTGGGATTAACCGGAATCCGGAAACTGACCGAGGTTGTTTATAGGCGAGGGCAACATTAACAGAAAGAGGCTGTCAATTATTGCGGAAAGACGGATTGCTGGACGAGGAGATGTTTCGGAGGGCGAGGGAGACACAGGATTCGATGGTTGATAGCATCAAGCGATTAGAAGGTGTAGTCGATATGCTTCAGACCAGATTGGCCAGACTACTGGCCGAGTATACTGCGAGCCAAGCGAAGCTGAAACAGAGACTCACCAAAGTGGAATCAAGGTAATATCTAGAATTAATACTTGTGAAACTAACTTATTATGATCATATTCATCCGTAAACACAACATAAATCTAGACAAGTTATTAACAAATTTCTTCTCTTTATTTTAAATGAAATGTTTATTTGGTCATTTCAAACTAACCATTTAATTCTGTAATATTATTAGTTCCTAGGTGTATCATCAAGATTATCTTAAACTATCTTAAAGTAAGCAAAAGGATAATAAAAGAAATAATTCTCAAAGTCCATTCAACTAACTGAAAATAAAAAAGAAGATTTAACTCTCATTTCTTTGCATTCGCAACAACCGATCCGACCTCGCCCATTCTTCTAGTTTCATTAAAGCACTTAAACAGTTTGAGCGCTTAAAAGCCGTGGAGTATTTTTTTATTAAAATGCAAAGTGTAAAATCAACCACTCAACCAAATTGGAAAAACCGAGAAGATCCATCCGTACGTACGGTTTCTTGGCTTCTTTTTGCGTTCACTTTCGATCACCTAAATTTCATGCAAATTTATAACGCCCGGCCGCAATAAAGTTCGAAACGTTAATCGCAATGATTCACGATATTTATCTTTCGCGTTTCTTTATTATATATATTTTTTTACATTTCAGACACGGCGATTCCGACGCTCCTCCAGAGAATTTGAAGGTGCCGCAGCATGGAGGAAGAAGGAGACTGCACAGCTTCGAGGCAAGCAGGACCAGCACATCGAGCAGCTCCAGGCACAAAACCATGTAGCTACTACGAACAATAAACCCTCCGACCAAAACAAAACATACATAAAAAAAAGAAACAACAGCATAAAATCCTCCAATACGTTATTAATCATTTCCCCCCTCAAGAAACACGAGCGTTAGTCAATTTGTATAGTCAATTTATTTCCTAGTCTCATTAGATGTACTTTTTAACTCTCAACAAAACATTAAAAAAAACTTAATTGTACACAAAAATTTACATCAAGTTTGTCATATTAAATACTTACTTTCGAATAGAACAATACCTCGCATAGTGCGACTTCAGCATAATGCGGTTTAAGCAAAAAAAAAATTAATTCTAAAAAAATAGATCAAGAAACTTGTATATATTTAGTTTCTCGATTAGTTCGGTTTCAAACAGTTATCCGCACTATGAGTGGTATTGCTGTACTTAGTATTGTTTTCATTCATATCTCCAAATACTAAGCTTTTATGTGTCAATACAAAGTGGATAGAGTAGTGTAATAACAATGAAGAAAAAATCACCAGAAATTTAACAGACAAAAAAAAAGACCCGAATGATGTAAATATTGTCTAGCTGTTACAATATAGACATATCTATTTTCATAAATGTTCGTAAGGAATATATAAAGGATTTACAATTAATACAAGTTATGTGGAATATTTTATATTTACTAATAAAGATGAATGAAATGAGACCCAAAAAAAAAAACATAATAATTAAAACTTAATCTTAATACGAGTGTGCAATGAGAATGATAATTGATAGGTAATCTTAAGTTTACGTTAAGTTAGTCGTTTAATACTAAATATTATATGAAACAAATTATATTATTATATATATATTATATATGAATGAAGAAAAAAAAAACAATACTTTTTGAAACAGCCTTAATTATTGTGATATAAAAGAAAATTTTTATGTACAATTTAGATGGTAAACAATACGACCTAACAATGAAATATATAAAAATATAAATATATATGTATTTGAAAAAAAAAGGAAAAAAGCTCATCTTTACTCAGAAACAAATTGTACGTTATTTTTGTTTTCTCTTTTTTTTCATTATTGTTTACGAATAATAATGTTGAGCTTGATTTGGTAACAACATTTCTTTCGTTCTTTTCTCTCTACATATTTTTCTTTTGATTTCCTTTGTAGTGTGAAATTTTAATTGTAATAATAAAGTAAATATTAATTATATTCGTTTAATTCATTCATCAAACCCCTTGAAATATTTTATTAGAATTTATAAATTCATCAAAAAAAAACTTAATAATAATTATTAAAAAGCAACCTAAAATAAACGTAAGTATTATATAATTTGATTATATTTTTGTAAAAATATATTATAAGTAATATAGGAAAAAGAAATCCCATTTGTTTTACTAATACTAATCATGATAAATTATAAAAGCTAAGAATTGATTATTTTTTAGAATATTTTTAACTATTTTGATATAATCTTTTGAGAAGACTAGAAGACTAGACTCAAAAAAATGGTTTTGAACATGTCCATGACGAGAGTATTAAAAAATTATTGAATGCAGAAGATGATGGTTTTTCATTGAAAGATTTTGAAAATCTTGTTAGCAACGAATACAAAACAAATGAAAACGGAAGTTCTTCCCGAAATATATAAACAATTGAATATTTAAAAAGATGATAAAATGATATTTAGAACAGATCCTGATTTAGAAAGAAGTATTATTGTTCAGTGTTAAATGTAAAAACTGCTGAAACGTCTAGAAATATAAAAAGAATATATCAAAGAAATGTCAAAACAAAATTGAATACGAATTGTAATATGTGGTAATAAACAATTAAGTATAATAACATGTTTCACAGTTGCACGAAATTATCGATTCGCATCAATCATCCATCAAATAATTCTTCGCGTGCGATTCCCATCGAAACTACTCTCTTTTTTTTTCTAATGAGCGCACGATATCAAAAACGTTTGGACTTACTCTGACGTCCAATTAGTTACCCGACATTTCTGATGAACATGCATACTTCGAATACTCTCAAAATGCCATTTAAACTCTACATTCACATTAATCGTTGCAGTTAACCAAAGTCGTAAATAAACACAGGTCTAAATAATGAAACCAATTAATTAACGACAGATTAATTATAATTAATTCCCTTTGTCAATTATTTTACATTCAGCTAGTACAATTCGTTTTTAGTTTGCATTTAATTCTCTTCGAGCATTAATTTTTTCATTACTTTATATTTGAACGTGAATTACAGCCAAATGGATGAAACTATAGCAATAATAGAATGCACATTACATTCCCTAAATTTACAACTTGCATATTTTTGATCCATTCTACCTATTATAGTTTCTAAGAAAATCACTGCTTTTTGAACCGTAGATTACTTCATATTTTCACGCAAATTACAGCCAAATGAATGTAAATCACAACAATAATCGAATACACGTTGCATTTCCCAAATATCCAAATTAAATTTGCATCTTTTGGATTAATTCTATCCATTATTGTTTCTAAGAAAATCACTAAAATTTGAAGACACTATATTAATTTTTCATTACTTCATTTTACGAAATAAATTGAATTGCGAAATGCATATTTCGAGCGAGACATGAAACGGAAATTAAGGAAGATCGAAGATTACTCCAAGGAGAAATAACAGTTACCATCAGTTGCTCGTTTCTGTAGATTAGAAATAGTTATAATGTAATATTTAAAACCAATACAAATTATACAATTTTTATTTTAAATTATTACTAATATTATACATTTTCTGATTTTGCAATTCGAACACTAACTACACACGTAACTTAACATTTGTAAGAGTCAAATATTAAGTACGCATTCGAATTTCCTTAAGGTTATATTTGTTGAATAGGCAACTTTATTATCTCTAAAATGCGCATTCTTAAAATGAAAAAAATAGTACCTGGCGCTTCCACCAAAAACGCGCCATTATTTTTTACGACTTGTTAGATGTAATGAATACGAAATAATAATTTTAAGTGCTCTTTCATATTATAAAAAAATGTGTTATTGTTTAAAATGTCATGTTAGAATATTTTCAATTACATTTTGAACGTTTGTTGGCATGTGGGGTGACGTCAAAAGAGAATATTATTTTATGCAACACTACGAAGATTGTAAGTAATCAACTTAACACGACTAATCGTCTTACTGATTAAATGTTAACGCAGGCGAAACATGTCAATTGTCAGCGCATTTTAAGAAACGCAAGTTCTGCTGCTTCACTTGGACCAGGTTAAATAAAAACTTTATACCGTATGTAAGGTACGGAAGGACGCCGATGACTTTGACTTGTCCGAACTGCCTGACGCCGACGCAGACGAGAATCACTTGGGTGGTGAGCAGAAGGACGCAAAAGGCTTCGTACGCATTATCGATAATATTGTGCTGCTTCTTGCCGTACTGCTCGAAAAAATGGAAGATCGCCAAGCACAATTGCAAACACTGCGAGGCGTTTATTGGATTAGGAAGATGATTATTCTTTTTTATTAATTAATATTTCAAAGAATTGTCAAAATGACGTGGATTTCTTGTGATTGTATCATATTTATTGACTTGTGATCGATACGTAAGTGCAAATTTATATTATTGTGTTTTATTTGATTTACAATTAGAAATTTAAGTAAATATAATAATATGAATAAACTTTATTTTGTGAATAACTGCCATTGCTATATACATATTTCATTATAAAATTCTGATCTGAATTACAGAATTTTAAGGATTTAAAATACTTAAGGCTCTTTGCTATCAATCTATTTCTGATCTTAATTATTAAATCTTGATAATGTAGTAATTTCTTTGTACATCTATCTTATATATTCATTGCACCTTTCTAAAGTTACATAATTAAACTTACTTTTGAAGATTTTTTTATTTTAAATTGTTTCGAGTGTTTTCTGATCAGGTATGTAAGTGCCAAAGAATGACGTGCGCTTGTGTTCAACATAATTAGGTTGGGAGGATGAAGTAGATGGGGACATATGGAGAATGCACGATCTGCGGTGACAAAATTAACTATGCACCTGATAACGTAGCAAATTTAGGATTGCATTTGATCGACAAACATCCGGACATTGAGTTGGCGCACTTCTCTTTGCTCTGCGAATCACCACCAAAAGCAGGCTGCCAATGCGGATGCGGATGTGCTTGCAACCCCTCAGGTTGCGGAGCGGGACGGGGCAGGAAGCAGCCCTCGATCAAAACCACAGGTTAATGTTGCAATATGATAATAACTGCACTTACTAATGATACATTTGATTTCATCATAAGTTGAGAGTTGGAAACGCGCGCAGAATCCGCTGAGATGCGTGAAATGCGGAAAAACGGCGATACCCTTAATCCGGAGGCAAAGACATAAAGTTGGTCTGAAGCGAATTCTTTGAATATTGTTTGCTAATGTTCTGTTTGAATCAGTTGGCGCGTTCGCAGTTCGGCGCCTTTATACTGCTGGGCTGTTGGCCGATCTGTTTCCTGCCGTTCATCTTGGGAGGTAGCGATCTGATGTACTTGTATTGCAAGGAATGCGGAAATTACTTGGGAATGTACGATAGGAGGGTGGCGCAGAAGGACGATCCGCTGTGCCGCCAAAACGGACACCCATGCTCCTGCAATTGACATTAAATTTCGCAGTGACGTTTTTGTAGTATCAAATTATTAGTTCAATTTTTCCGAAGGTTGTAAATATGTGAATAAATCAAACTCGTAATCGCTTTGCTAGTCTCGGTATGGCAGAGGGATCGGAATCCGCCGAGGGTTCGAGGATTTCTTTGAGGTTTAAGGAGGAGATGCACAATTTGCGCGACGATGCGGCCGGTACTTCGGAAGGTATTAATCCCGAGATTACGTTGGTATTAAAGAGGCCGGATTTCCGGAAGATCAGCGGGGAATCCGTGCGGAAACTCGAATCGTCGACAATAATTGTTATACCGCTGCAACACACATTACAGCAGGATAGAGATGATCCTCCGAGCGAAGTTGAACTATGCGAATTTGAAATTACTCCACCACCCTACAGTCCGTTAGTTCTGTACAGTGCACCTCCCGTGCAAGGGGCTCCTCCAACGTATTCGGCGATCTTGAGGATTGGACCTGCGGATACCTGCAGCAGGAGATTAGGTAGGCGACCCGAGATCAGGATGCAGCCTTCGCCGCCATTCATCGCTCCGATTCCGCCACCGTCGTACGCGGAAGCGCAAGGACTATGCTTAAACCAAAGTAGGCCTTTATTTCCTGCCGTCATAGGTAAACTAATCTTCGTCGATTAACTTAAATAATCAGTAACATTTCCCTAAATAGATTACGAGGATTCGGCCTGGGGACCCGAGCCTGTAACCGTTTTCTGTCCCACCTGCAACAATTTTGTCATCACTAATGTCAGAACGCGACGATCCAACGTCACGCATTTCTCAGCTCTCGCCCTCTGCATATGCGGATGCTGGCCCTGCTGTCTTCTTCCCTACTGCATGAAGAGCTGTAAAACTACCTATCACGAATGTCCGTTGTGTGTAACAGTAATTGGCATATACAATCCGTGGTAATTAAATTTATTTTAAAGCTCACAACATTAATGCCAAAAAAGGAAATAATTAAATTATTTCAATACAAATTTGTAATTTGCGAATTAATTTTAATACATTTTTTTTCACGTTAAACAAAATGCATTAATAATAATTAGTAACTAATACAAAATAATTTCTATTTCAAATTTTTGTAAATTTCAATAATAAGATATATTTTCTTGCTATCATTCTAATACTATGGGTTTATAGAACTGATTTAGTTATTCAAACTAAATAAATGAATATAACTTAATGTGTTATTTCAAAAATTTTAATTAAACAGCCTTTTTTAATATTATGAGTTAATTTATTTATTTTATTTCAGGATGCGAAGAATGCAGCCTATATGAAATTAGAGGTTTCTTTGTGATGAAATGCTTTTACAATGAAAGTTTTTAGATTGGTGAAGTTATGACTATTCAGATTAGTCATAAGCCCAATAGCTTTGGACACCATCCAGCAAGTAAAGTCATGGTTTAAAAGATGATTGTCAATTATTTGTAAGTTTAATAATAAAAGAAGTCTTAAAATTTGATTTAATTTAACCTATCCAAAAATGTTGAGTTTTTATGATATATGAGCAGTTAAAGTATGTTTTTTGAATGGACCATAACCTAAAAGAAAGTAAGCATAAGTGGTCATCACAAATACAATATTTTATAATAAATGTATGTTTTTAGGAGAAGCTGTAATATAGGTGTCTTTCAAATAGTTTTAAAAATGGATTTGAAAGATATTGTGCAGTGTCCATTGAAGATGAAGAACAGTATAGGTTCAAATGTTGAAATAGAGACAGTGGACAAGAGAATGCACACAGGAGTATTACATTGCATTGATCCAATGAGTTCAGCTATAGTGCTGATCAATGAGAATGAGACAGAAAATGAGATCTCCATAATTAATTTTAACTCTGTGCAAAAATACAAGACTATTTCTCCAGGCTACTTTATTGAACAATGTGTACCAATAGATGCAGTAACATTAATAGATGAAGATACATTAAGGCTGAAAAGAGAGAAACTAAGAGACTGGTTCAAACTAAACTTAATTGACATAGAAGAAGATGGAAAGGTTCTGAAATACAAAGATTATTTAATTGTAGAACCACCATATGATACTGAGCACTGTTATTGCACTAACACCATCATACTCGAGAGAATCTACGATTTGATAAATAAGATGCCATCATAGTTTTACTTTTTTATTTTCTTAATTGGTTGGAAGAATTCACAATTTTGTTGCCTGTTCAGATGTCGTTCCATGTGTTTCTTCAAGTTTGCTTTCTGTGTGAAGGTGGCTGTGCAATCTTCACACTGGTATTTCACCCCCTGATGGATGAGCATGTGTTTATGTAAATTTGATTGCTGCGCAAAGCTGTTGTTGCATATGATGCAGCCGTATGGTTTTTCTCCTAAAGTTTAGTTAACAATTAATTGATCTATGTATGGGCACAATAAATATATATTTTCTTACCTGTGTGGATTCTTATGTGTTTATCCAAATTAGCTCTTTGAGTGAATGCCTTTTGACAGTAAGTGCACGAGTATGGTTTTATGCCATCATGGATGAGTTTGTGCTTCTTCAGATTGGCGTTCTGTGAGAACTTCTTGTTGCAGACATCACATTGGAAGCGTTTCTCGCCTGCCATGGAAACGAAATTTTTAGTTTATTGTTGCTTGATTTGGGTTTGTTTACCTGTGTGGATGTGTATGTGCTTCCATAGGTTGCTCTTCTTGTTGAAGCGTTTCTCGCAGATCTCACACTCGTACGGTCTGCTGGTGTCTAGCGGTGGAGGCAGTTTGCTGGATGTACCCGCTTCCGTTTTTATACCAGTCGTGTAGTGGCTGAAAGGGAATCTTTTTTTTTATCGTTATTACAAACATGTCACTTTGGTAACGCCGCATAAGGGTACCTATCATATGGTTGGAAGCCGAAACGACGGCTCGCCTCCAGATCAATCTCCCTGCGTTCCTCCTCGATCTTCAGGGCTACGGCCAGATTAGGGTTCAGTATGAACGGGTTGTGGACGATCGGATCGTCCTGCTATGGGAAGAACACAATGTTTTATGGTAAATTAGCATCGGGACGTGAACTGCAATCGTGTTACCTCTATCGGTCCAATATAAACGTCGTCAAAGTACATCGCAGCAACTCTGCGTGCGGATATAGGTTAAGCGAACCGAATGCAAATTACGTAATTGTTATCGACACTATTGTAATACCATAACAATCGGCTGCGTTTAATCAATAAATATTACGCAATTTTGAATTCAAATTTCGCGTTTGTTCATCTTCTTCTTATTCTTTCCTCTCGCTTATTCTTATTCTTCTACCATATTTCTGGGTTACCAACTAACATATGGACGGGTGAGTTGGTAGATTATTTTTACCTACGGCGATCGCAGATGGCGCTCTTCACGCACGCACCAATCAAATGTCGATAATGCAGCGCACAAAACTACAAAAAAATATAGCTGTAGATTAGCGAAAATTACTCATTCGTTACATAAATACTGATATTTCCTTACAAACAATTGTAACATTAACTTGTAATGCTAAACCAAATAAATATTATATTGTTACCACTTTATTTGCATTGTTTCTTTTAACAGTAGCTGATTAAGAACTTAACGAAAAAGTAGTTTTGTCACATTTTAGTCTTTTTTCTCAGAAACTATAATAGATAGAATGGATTCAAAAGTTGTGTATGGAAGTTGGAAATTTAAGAAATGTAGCGAGTATTCAAACATTGCTGTGGCTGTAATTTTCTTTAAAAAATGAAATTATTAAAAATTAACGCTCGAATAAGTAGTTTTGTCACATTTTAGTCTTTTTCTCAGAAACTATTATAGATAGAATAGTTCCAAAAGATGTATATGAAAATTGGATTTTTGGGGAATGTAGCGAATTAACACTCAAAAAAGTAGTCACGTCATATTTTAATAATTTTCTCAGAAACTATAATACATAGAATGGATCCAAAAGATATGAAAGTTGTATATTTGGGAAATGTAGTGAGTATTCAAACATTGCTGTGGCTATAACTTGCTTTCAAAAATAAAATTATTAAAAATTAACGCACGAACGCAAATTAACACTGACAATAAAGGATACTGAATAAAGAAATATGATCTCATCATGTTATTAGATCATATTTTCGTTGTTTATCTGTGCTAAATAAATATTTTCTTTTATTTTATGAAATCTAATATGATTATTCCATTCCTTATAGATGTATCAATTACTTGTAGTTGGAAATATTGTAAATTTCTAAATATTTATTATTTTTATATTTTGCTGCATATTATTTCAATTGATGATTAAAGCAGCTCTTAACTAACGACCTTCATTTATGAATACACAAGGTTTAAGTTATCAAGCAATAAAGCTTTAGTATCAATCGATATTTATTATTTACCAAACAATACCTTTTCTCGCTGCGCGTAATTTAATACGGATCGATAAGCGTATGTTTGTATCACGTGAAGAGTTGCGACACTTCTGGTAAATCCAAACAAAACCTTTTAATAAATTCATGATAGTTATAATATATAAATAAAAAAAACTCATATTAATTGAAAGTAATGTAATTTTATTATATTATTTAAAAACATATCTTTAGACTTTTGCGGATATATAAACGTATACGAAGCAAAGTTTACATGTGTGGTTGCGATTTTAACTTTCGTATTTGCCTAAATACGCCTGGCAGTTCGGACAGTAGTGATTTCGGTTTTGGCATGAGTCCATGCAGTACGGTACGCAAACGCACGGAATACACCTGAAACAATCAATGTTGCATAATGATTTAAGTGCATTCTTGCGCATCAATTTCATCATTACTTACATAAAAAGGCACAAGAGCAAAGCCATAAGATGAGTTTTTGTTGTGGCCTGCGTCTTCATTGAAGTTAACACTTCTGCGTGACAGGATGGACACACGCATCTTTGAGGATCAGGTCCAAAATTTGACATTACATGTACTTGTGGTATAGGTGCAGGTGCATCTGGAAATTTAAAAAAAGTAATAGATGAATAGATGTCTCAGAGAAGGAAGCATTCAGTATCAATAGACTTCTTTAAAGATTACATTTACATACATTGGTATCAGACATCCGGGGAAGATTATGAAATACGCAAAGAAGTTATTGATTCGCGCACATATAATATTTGTATGTACTTTTTCGCAAATTATATTAACAATAATTTATATTTTTAAACAGTCGTAATGCAATGCAAACTCATGTTTCTTCATTTTTTATCACACATTCACTGTTAACTTTAAACATTCTAAAGTCCAAAGAAAAACATGATTTAGAGTTGATTTTTTTTTCAAGATGTTTTGTTGTGTCAATTCAATTTCAATTTTAAAATGCTTTATTCAGTGTAAAAATGCAGATACAATGGTATTTGTTATGAAGGGGTGGCGTACATGTGAGCTTAAGCTCATTTAGCCAGTTTTGTTGTGTCCAGCCATTATTATTATAATTGTTATTATTAATATAGCATATTAACGAACTTGAGACATCAGCATAAAGGAATCTCTACCGTGATTCCAGTTCGATACACTTTAATATAAACAAAGGGGACCAAGCGTAAACATCCCCATCGATACTCCTATACCTTTATACCGAATTCAAGTCTTTATTATAAACACATAATAAGAATTAACTTTGTAAATAGAATAAGTACTTAGAAATAATCTCAGTAAAATCTTCAAAGACGAATAGAGTCTCAGCAGAACCTTTGAGGACATAGTCTCATAAAAACCTAAGACAAGCATAATCTCAGCAGAAGACCAAGTAACGAATAAACTTATGTAAAACCAATTGAATTATTTAATTTCTACAACTGAGACTCCACAACAACGACAACACCAGACAATATTCCACTGTGTCCAGAATTCCATCCCTGGGACACGACAGTTTCTTAGAGCATTTGAAGATATATAAGATATAAAGTGCTTCAAAATGAAACGAACACAAAGCAATTTGCCAAATTTACCAAGTTCAATCAATTTTGATAAATTTTATATTAGCATATCTTACAGACTTTTGGGGAATCCCCTCGTTCGTTTGTCATATGAACAGTAACGTTTAAGAAAGAGCACATAAATACCTCGCATAGCACGGCTACGATCATTATAGTCCGGTTTTAATATTTCAAAAGAAATTAAATTTTAATTGAACAAATTCTAAAACATTAATAAACAAAATTATTATTTTTACACATAAATTAATGATTATTTTCTTCTATACAGACAAGTCTCGTTTTGTGCTATTTATTTGTATGCCTCAATTTATTCAGATTCAAACAGTGCTGCATATTGCACTATATGCAACGATAAAATTATTGATATTATTCTACTGCTTACTTTTTGTTCATTTTTAATGGCTAAATATCATTTATCTAGTCTGGAAGACCGCTATCAACTACTTTATCATGTAATGTAACGAATTATATCCTAATAAAAATAATCAATAAGCAAATGATGCATACAGATATTTTATTTAATATAAATTATATTTATTTATGAATATTCTGTACACGTCAACTGCTCAACTTATATTGTAATATTTGTTCAACTAATTGCACTAAAATCTATGCAAATTGCAAGTTTTTATTTTTTATTGATCTAATCTGCAGTGCAACCTCGCTTAACGAGCAAAATGAATTGTAAGAAAAATGACTCGCTTAACGAGCGACGTTTCGCATAACGAGTGACGATANNGTCTGCTACATCATGTTTAAAACTAGTGTACAAATATTATGTGTAATTTTGAATATGTTTCACTATACGAGTATTTCACGTTGCGAGTAAAAATGCGGAAATTTTAGAACGGATTAAACTCGTTCCACTGTATATATTTTGTTGAATATACAATTTATCAAATGCGTATATGAAATCCATGTTACAAAACAAATATGTATATGCTCTAAACCCGTTTAATGTAAATAATATGGTTAAGTGTAATTGCAAACAAAGACGTTAAAAGCATGACCATGAATCACATATCAATTGTATGTAATCATTGTATAGAAAAATGAATATATTCCAAAAAAAAATCCTCGAATAGTGATAATACAAACATTTGCATTGTGAATCATAAAGTATTTTTTTGTCAGCAAAATGTTTTTTTAATAATAATTAGTGTAAAATTCAAGGTAAAAAGTCGACGTTTATGTGTAAGTTTACTTCGTTAATATTTATTATTATTAATACAGTATTGAACAATAGTTGATAAAATTAAAAAATAATAATGAAGAAAGGTGAGTTTGGATGAAACATTGTGTGAAAAGGCTAGTTTCAATTACATTTTGTTTGTTACTTCATGTGTTATACGTTGATTTTTGGATGATGGCAAATAGTTGAAAGAAAAACAAAAGTAATATTTCGCTAGCAAAACGAAGAGTATTAATAAAATATTGTCATCATTATTATCGGGCAGAAATAATATAATTGTTGGCACGAATTGAGAAGACAATAAAAAATGGTAAAAAAATAAATTTAAAAAAAGTTATTATAAAATAACTTACTCGGTTGATAATAAGGCGGAGGTGGTGCTTGTTTACTCATCCTTATTCCCTGTATTTAAATCAGTAAATATGAGCGAAGTCCGTTGGCTTAATATACTTTAGACTGAACTAGCGCGTTGTTAACACTTGAATGAGTCGATGTTCATGATGTGGACGTGCTGCGAATCGCGCAATCATCAATTACATTTTGTATATATTTTGTATTTATTTAAAATACATAACGTCAATAGACAAAGACCCCCCCTACTCAGATATCAAAATGGAACCTCACTACTATAACACAATATAAAAAAACTTCTTTTTTTGCCGTTTATTTAAAACAATTTATTCTTCATTGGCGATCAATTTCATAAAGTACCTGTTTATGTCAAAATCTTCAATGTTAACTTATCAGGATTGTTAATTGAATCTTTTCAGTCAAAATATTTCACAAAACTTGGCATGAATTCAATTATATTCTGCGAAGTATAAATACAGAACATCGGTGCCATATGGTATGCTCCGCATATCACATTACATTTTTAAGTAATCTTTATTAGTTCGAGCGCAACAGTGGATTCCTTTACATATTTCTTCAATTGCGCTCATTTATAATGCAATACAAACATCACTGGCGCAGGCCCGTATTAAGGTTGCCGTGGGCCCTAGACACCAGAACTCCCAGCCTATCTTAACAACTTAACTTAAGAACCAAATATGTTTTCTTCAATTCTAAATCCAATACGTTATTCGTGGGTCCCAAAAAATTCTAGTAGTCTCGAAAACATCTCGTGGGCCCCAGACACGCTGTACACGCAGTGATATAACAATTGTGCGACGCAACATTAAATGTATTTAATTTGTAAGACAAATATTTACAGACTTAAATCGTGTGAAATAATGACCTTTAAAATGATTATGCACGAGATAGTTGCACATAATTACATAAAAATGTACGGAAAATAATACTGTTTATATGTTTGATATTTTGTGTATGACAAGAACAAGATTACTTGATTGTTATTAATTAAATGTAATTGTTTTTCGTATTTTTTTAATCTAAGAAGATATAAATTTATTATTATACATTTTCATTATCTTCAAGAACAAGAATTCCTTAAGATCCATCCATCTTATAGCGCCAATTGTTGATTTTCTTTCAGTCATTTCATCTCATCAAATGAAGGTTTTCTATAGCAAATTGTATCTAAACACTTGCCTCATTTAAATTGATGTCTGTTAATTATTTTTTTAAATTAACATTTTCAATTATTGTAAATGATGGAAGTTCTTAAGTATACAGTAAGAAAACATTTTAAGAAATTGTATTAAATTTTAAAAATTATTTAGATTCATTAATTTCACTTGTTCACGTTAAGCTTTGAAAAGAAACAAGTGTAAATCCTATTGTTAACAGTACGTTGGATCCTTGGATTTAATCAGTGACATTGAACGTTGAAGGCAACAAAAAATTCTATGCTAAAATATATTTTTGACCTTGCTGATGAATCGCGTGAGTGCAATTATGATATGGTTATTAGCAGATGAAATAAAAATTGCAGAATAATTTAATAATAAAATTAATGTAATATTTTTTTAGTCAAAATTTCACTAATTTGATTAAATTTAATAAAAGTGAACTAATTTAAGTAATTTCGAGCGATGGATTAGATAATAGCGAATTTCCCAATATTTGAATAATGATAATTAATTATTATCAGTCTTATTCAAATATGATATAATCATTAAATGAAATTCTAGCTACATACTAATAAATATAAATAAAATATGTTTACTTATGAATATATATATCATTAAGCTGTTAGTAAAACGTCAACTTTATGTAGAGCAGTGGTTTCCAAACTTTATGTTACAGGGAGGAGCGCCTCACAGTTTGAATAACTCTGATGTAGAGTGAACTAACAAGTAAGAGGTTAGGTAGAATCAAACTTCATCTGTAAATTGTTAATAAATGTTATTAAATTTCATGAATTAGTAAAAAAATATATGCAGTAATAATGACAAAAGAGCTTGGGATCATTTCAAATAAAACTTAATGCTATGATAATATTCATTTAGATGCAAGTATAATTAACTGATGTTACATGAAGTAACAACCAGAATTTTCAAGTGGATTAGAGATAATGAACGATAATCAATTGACAGAAGTTAAAAGTTAGGTTTGATTGTAATCCGACATAACTGCTAAATCTTTCCATGGATTAATGATTAAATATTGCAATTAATAGTAGAAACTATTTTATAAATAATCAAGTAAAATAAATAATTACGTTAGCCCTTTGGCCAGCCTATTAATATATATTTTTTTATTTATGTATAAATTGTACTTTTTTTTTCTCTTCTTCTTATGTATCGATGTTTGGCCAATAAATTATTATTATTATTATTAAATAATTAATATTCGTTTAAAAATAATAATGAGATATACAAAATTATAAGAATAATTAACTGATGTAACATAAAAAAGCAAGTGAGCTTTGCAATTGGATTAGAGATAATTATATTAGTCAAACAAATATTGTAGTAATAATAACAAAAGATCGACAAGTAATTGAGCAAAACAAAAAGTTATTATTCGTTATAAATAATAATGACATGACAAAAACTGTATTCTTACAGTTGCAATTGACGTAGTGATAATTGATGTTGTCATGTTATATAATAATAATAATTTATTATATACAAAGCTAAAACGAATTAAATCAATATTTCCACAATAAGAAAATATGAATATTACTAAATAAGATATCTTAGTTTATGAGTAAAAAGATAAGTTTATTGAAGCAATGCAAAGGTAATATTTATTATAAAATTATAATGAGATTAGGAAACTGTAATCATAGTGCACTAATGTTACATAATGGTTTTAAAATTGATAATTAAGAGTAAGTTCCCAAGTAGGCGTTGCAACTGGGGCAGTGGTGATCAATGTTTTGACAGGAGTCCACCAAATACGGTACGCACATGCAGGGGCAACAACTGAAAAAAAAGGTAAAGTAAGTAAGTAATATTGCAGGTATTGAAAATCAGGAACTCACAAGATACAGAGGAAGGCGGCTAATGCGTGCGTCCGAAAATTTGGACGTATTGTCACCGTCGTCATAATATCGGCATGACAATTTGGACACACGCAATGTTGATTTATCGGTCCGAAATTGACGATCGGTCTTACTTGAATGCCGGCTAATCCAATTGGCGGCGGCACATTCGCTGTTGGCACAGCACCTGCAATTAAAGAACAACAAAAATTAATTGTATTTTAGATATTTACCCTGTTTATTATACGCACCGTACGGCGGAGGCGGATCATCCACTAAATTGTATTTATCCATCTCATCTGCAAACAATTCATCTGCCAACGGTTTCCTCACTCGAGATGACTCACTGAAATATTTATAATCAATAAGATTTTTGTTGCATTTGATAAGCTTATCTTTTCTGATATTTCAAGAATCGTAATCATTCGCTTTTTTTATATTTACCTACATTTTAAGACATGTATTCAGTTCACAATGTGTAATTGCTTGTCTCTCTTTTTTTTTTGTTTTTAATAGAATCTCCGGTGTTGTTAAGTTAATGATAATACAAAATCTCATAAAATATAATAATTAATATAATTCAAGCAAATTACAACTCTAATATCATGTTTACTGTAAAATGGACGCAATAACGTTTATCAGGAATACTAATATTGATATAAAAAGAACTGGAATTAGAATATTATCGTAAAATTGATTACCGTATTGCGTTGTCAGGAAAAATAACGTCGGTTTGCTTAACAAAATGTTCACTAAAGGTAAAAGTATGATGTTTACTACATGTGTCTGCGTATGGACGTATTGAACGTTGACACTGGTTCACCAGTGGTGTAACAATGGAATTGGATATTCAGTAGTTTTAAATAAAAACTTTCGTTCGGTCAATCCAAATATAAAATTACAATAATCGTCATACAATTATAATTTATTTAATTAATTATAAGCATAATTTATTTCCTTTTTTTTAAATTATTTGTATTAACTTAAATGTTCTACAGGACATTGCACAAATTGCACAAACAGAGACTAGAAATAGAGAAAATAACGATCATTTATGTAGAATTAAATTTATTTTACTCTTATTAATTAAAATTAAGTGAGGTTAAAATATTTTTGATGCATTGACCCAATTAGTATTTGAAATAATACTCATTTATTAAACATATCATACTTTTAGTTATTTCATGTAATTCAATATTTTCAAAAAATAAGTAATTTAGTTTGAAATAATTATCCAAAATACTTTATATCTTATTGTCTATTCATTATTATACATTTAATTTTGAAGCTACAGTAATTGCTTCAAAACTTTGCATAAAACTGTGAAATATTACTCCAAAAATCTCGATTATTACGTGTGTGTCATTAAGTTATCTGTATTGCATCAATGCTTATTATTAGTTTTTCTCTTTTTCTCGATTAATTTGTATTCAATACACTATTTCATAATATTTGTTCACGTTATGCAATTTTCCTTGTAATTATTTTATGATGAAAGCTATGTGTCACTTAATAATCTAGCAAATGTTGTTTAATTGCTTTCATATTGTTTGCGTATAAATAGTAATAGATAAAACGTAAACTAAATATGAAATTAGTACAAAGTATTAGTACACTCATACATAGAATAACGAGTTGGATTTGGAGTTATTCCATTTGACACAATAATATTTCTTCCTAAATCAGGATAATTTACAGGAAAACGCATTCAATATAATTTATTCTTTTTGTAAAATTTCCACTGAAAAACTATCATCTTCTAAAATCATTTTCATCGATATTTTCGAAACCTCTTGATTGGACCTCCTAGATAACTTCGTTTATGTTATTTTCTGGAGACAGAAGGATTTGAACAAGTCATAAGATTTTCATTTTCAATCTATTTTATTTTTTTACAATATATACAGCAACAAATAAAACTTAATTTCTATTCCAATGATCAATCAGAGAACATGCATTCAAATATTGCCGATAACATGATTTTCAGATTTTGAAGTAGAGAATCCCAGTGAATTCCATCGGCTTGATGCTGCATCCCCAATACACTGTTTGGTGCGTTGTTATGGCCCTATTTCTTTGAAAATGAGGAAAGTCAGCCAGAAAGAATGAATGGGACAAAGCTTGACGTTTTGGAGATTAAATAATTTAAAAAAATGTTTTTGTAAAAGTTATTTTATTATTCAGTTTTTTAGGCGCCACCTTTTAGTACAACTTCTGAAAACATTTCATCGGATGATTGTCAGGTGTTGGCTTAAAATTGGAATAGTTTTTATGTTAAATGCGTTTGAAATTGCGGACTTAAATATTATAATATTTTAAACTTTTCTGAAAAAAAAGTAAATATTTTAACTACTTATTAACTATTTATTGAATTATAAAATTGAATATCTTAACTAAGATTCATTATATTTAAGTATCAACTAATCAACTTAATTTATTGAGTTCTTCTGTATTACCAATTGCGCAATAGATTGTTATTATTGAATCGAAGGAATAATACGAATGTTATTAATAATTCGAAAACATTGAAAGTTGATATTATCAACATTTTTCCTTTCAGCATTTCTAATAGACTTGAACAAATTTCTGTAAATACGTGATTTCTATTGGTACACGCCATCTACTTGAAATATACAATAAAATCACCGGAACATGTTTTATATTGCGTTTTAAAATTATTCCTCTATTTTTTATTACTGCCCGATAAAACTGAACTGTAACGCTACAATGAATATAAAAAGCAAATTGAAATCGTTTGATTTAACTCTGCTGATTTGTAATCATTGAAATGCATGTACAATATGTTTTAGAGCTGATTCAATTGATGTACGTTCCGATGTAATTCTCGCACTCCGGGCAGAAATGATCAACGTTCATGCAGATGGGACAGATGTAAGGTATGAAGCAGAGACTGAAAATGATAAAAACATAGTTAACTTTCTCATTAGGAAGATGGGTTTGGTGTATAGATACCAGCATATGCAGAGGCCGACTGCTTTCAGGTGGGTTTTGATCGATGGGACGATATTGATTTCTGTTGTCACATAGTAGTGACAGTGCGGGCAGCTCACTATCTGGGGCTTCGGTCCTAAAGGGACAACAGAATAGGGCGTATCGTGATCTACACGTCTGTTGTTGATCTGCGATTCAGAGGGATTCATCGGCCTTTTTGCGGACACTTTACAATTTTGCCATGCGGCGAATTTTCGGAGCGGGCGTGTTAACTTTGACAACTGAATTATTATTGAACGTCACCTTAAATTTCACATTTACAATCTGACATTTCTGTTTGTTGTGAAGGTGAACGCCCTTCGCAAGAACTTTTTAATCTTTTCAAACACTGTTTATTGGGTGGGTCAATAAAGATTTGTGAGGCTTTCAGAAAATTGGGATAGTTGGGTGCGAATGCTTTACCAAGAATGTGAAAGAAGTTGTGATATTTAAATGACTGTAAATTTAAGCCCTTCTACGTGTGACATTTCTTCAGCTAAGGATTTTGTTAATTGTAGCCATAAAGTTTATTATACGCTCGAATATATTTTCCAGATTTATGGCAATCAGAAATTAAACTTAATCTGTTCTTTTGTATTTTTATCACTGAAATTTATCATCTGCATGTATTTTATAAATGCATAGGAACCGGATTTCCTATGTGCATGTGATAAAAGATGTATATTTTACTTTGTATCAGTTTTTCGGTTTGTATTTAGTTTTTGCATTTTTAAGGTTCTCGTGTTGTCCCTAAATAGAGGGATAATGAAAGTTTATTTTAATTTTAAGTATTACAACAATATTCTAACATTATGAATTAAAAAATATAAATATATAAGACAAAGAATAATTGCAGGAACAGAATTAAATAGATTTTATTTTGATTTCGCATAAACAAAATGCTTAAGTTCTCTTATAATTTTAAAAGATTTTAATTCTATATAATTCATGAATTGTAGCAAGAAGTGTACGAAATTGAATAAAAGGAAGAAATAGAATGTAAAATATGTCAAGTTTTAACTAGTAACATTGAATGTATTTACCTTCAGGTCCTTGATTGACAGGTATATTGAAGCATCTTAAAGATTAGGGCGTTAAACGATAGTTCCTTTGGGAAATAGAGATTTTTCAGTAAATTATTGGCGTGGCAACAAAACAAACTCAAACAGTTGGTGTGCACCTTAGCGGGTTTTGTACCTGCTTTGTCGCTGGACCCTGGCCACGCACAGACTCAGTAGGTGTTCAGTTCTGAACCCCTCCAAAACATATTGGGATGAACCAACCACCACAAGACGAGACCAGAGAAAAAAGTTTCCAATCGCATCAAGCAGTCTGACGGAGCGCACCTGACAACAATCTTGTGATGTGAATCGGTGAAGAAGAAGACGAAAAAAAAACAGTGTTAGTGTGTAGTTCAATTCCAGTTTGAAGAGAGAAGTTAAGGAATAATAATAATTTAAAGATGTATAGTTTGGAGGACTTTGAAGTTATAAGTATTTTGGGGACGCACCTGAACTCGACTTATTACAAGGTGAAAAACAAGACGAGCGGCGAAGGGTTCATATGGAAAGCTATCAATTACGAGGAGTATTCGAACGATTCTAAAGACCTGATTAAGAGAATTGCGAAGCGTAAACTAGAAGACAGTGAGAACAGTTTGAAAGTGCATGATTATATAATTCATGATGAATCGGTTACAATTTATTTAATCATAGATTACTGCGAATACGGCTCATTGTACAGCATCATCTCCAAGTGCATCAAAAACGACGAATGCATCGAGGAAAGTTTCCTCTGGTACCTGATTTACAGGCTGGCGAAATTGGCGAAGGAATTTGGAAGCGTTAACATGCACGACGTATTTATAAATGATCAGTACAATGTGAGACATTTAAATTTTCCGCTGAATTCGAATCAAGAAGCGGTTACAAATTCGTTTTCGGAGATTCTCCACATGCTAATACACAGACAAACCAAATACAGTCAGAACGAAGATTTCCCAACGCACTACAGCAGCGAACTGAAGAATCTGTTTCATTTCATAACCACAGAAACGCCGATGACTTTGGATGCAGTCCTATGCCATCCAACTGCTTTATCCAAATTGAATTACATTAAAAACACGAGCATTTTTCATAAGTTATCGAAATCCCAGATCGATGATATAGATTTGGAAAAGCTATACCAAACCAAATTGGAGAATCTGCGCACCAGAGAAGCGATTTTGAAGAGCGCAGAGGATAAGTTAAAGGAGAAACAACGTAATTTGGAAAATAGGGAGAAGAAAATTTCTCTGATGGAAAGAGTAGTTAAAGAAAAGATTTCACGTGCTGAATTGTATTTGAAACGATCACGAGAGCAAAAGGCTAGCAACAACACTTTAAATAAAGGTTCGTATTGTTATTACATTGATTTCGATTGAATAATTAAATTTATTTGTTATTTTCAGCGAAAATTCAGAGAACGCTTTACGATAATTTAGATACTTCGTTTTCTGCGGATTGCGGCGAAAGCGTAATCATGCCTACCAGCAAGAAGCTGAACGTGGATAACATCGTAAAACCCATTCAGCTGTGCAGGACGATTTCGGAGAGGAGGACGGTGCGTTTCAAGCAGCAAAGTCCTCTCAAGGATATACACAATATGAAGAAGGAACTCGCACAGAAAGTGAGACCCAACCAATCGGATTCGGAGAAAACTTCGGAAAGCAGTTCGGAAAAAGGGGGCACTCTGGAAAAGAGCAAACCGAAAAAGTTCCTACTTTCATCGATGTTTTCGAAGAAACATAAGAAGATTGCTAATTCGATTAGCTCTTCTTCGGATTGTATTTCTGGTCACACCTACGAGGAGATCGACAATAAGCAACAGAACGAGCAGAAGCCTATCGGGTGGACGGAAGAGAGTAAAAGACATGCCTTCGACTTGCTGAGGATTATGAACGGAGGTGTAAATTCCGACGAGTTCGGGCATCAAATTCAACACACTTACCTTTAGATGCAATATTTTTTTGTTACAAATGTATATATTATATAGACTGTTTATTAATTTAGATACTTTATCGCCTCAACGAATTGATGCAAAATATATTATAAAAGTAATTAGTCTCTTAATAACCTTATTAACCATTACCATTTCATTTTTATTTATAATTAAGTTTCTCACAATCTACGGACTGTTATGAAGAAACTTAACTAAAGAATTTATTTATCATTGAATTAATATTATGACAATCTTTCTGAGAAGATATCAGAAAAACAAGTGAATAATACTTACTTGCTAAATACAATAAATGTTATTAATAGCCTGAGTCAGCAACCGCGATATCTCGTTTTTAAACAAACATTTATAAAATTAGCACGCAATGATAATAACGAAGAGATATACGAATCTTCATAGTAAAATATTAAAAAGCCATAATAATTTGTTTTAATTATAAAAGTTATTTTTTATGACTGGTGTAGAAATGTGCACTACTTGTGTAACAGATTATAATATAAGCAGCTGTGGTTATTATTTTTAATATAAATATTCAATGTTCTTTTTTAACCAACTATAAACATCTGAGACATTTATTTAATGTAAATAGTAAATCATCTTTATGTAATAACAAGTAAAACAATTAAATTAAAAAATAAAATCTTGCTTTGGATATTGCATGGAAGTTCATCAAACTCTGTAATTATCTATAAAAATGAAGGATATATCTGAAAATGATGTTTCATTACAAATGTACATTGATTGTTTACTTAATAAACATACTTTATTAGATTACTACTTTAGCATAATTACAATTAAATTAGGGCCAAGTAGGCTTTTCTCCTTCCTTGAGGGTCCTTCCATACAAAGCACTCTTATCCCTGAAAAGGGTCATCCTCTCAGTTTCCTTGGCATCCAAGAAATATCCTATGCCATAACCGATCAAAGGAATAATCAGCCATTGAGCTCCTTTAGGAATAATCGGATACATGATCATGTCTCTTCCTCAGTTTGCACTCCTGTGTGTAGGTGTAATCAGCGTATATTGTGCTCACTACAAAAGCGGGAAGGAGAGTTACTAAAGAATAACGGCTAAATAAACGACCAATTTGTATGGCCATCAATGCACCTGCAAAATTACATCACTGTGATTTGAGGTTATAATTTGGATTTCTAATTTTGAATCATTAACGAATTTTCTATGGAAAAGTACACATATGATATGAAAAGGAACAAGTTAAGACAGTTACCTGAATGTTAATGGAAAATCTTCAGAAGTATCTGAAGAAATTTTGAAGATACAAATGTAATACTGGGGGTGAACTGTCACAGCACAAGGTATGCAACCAGCTATATCGATGAAATAACGTCAGGTTATATAATTCGTGGATTATTTGCGAGGTTAAGGTTAGATGGCGCTCACATCGAAAAACAATCGCAGAAACTAATGGTTACGGCGACTTCCGTTGTCTCGCTCGCACTCACAGGTTGGTAGCGCGGGATGAGCGAAATCGCTCGTACGGAAAAATATGAAGAGATATATATTGAAGGACCGCAACTCCGGCGGCGTTTTTGTGTTTGTGCAAGGGACAATTAGGTGGCCGAATTTTTTGCAGACCCTGAGGTGAGCAACACGTTTCTACATTAAATTCCTTATACTTTTTCCTCGTTCAGGCAAATCCTGCAGGATAACAACGAAATGTCACAAATCGGTCGCAATGTTTTTGTTTGAAATTCAAAGCTACCTGCGAGATCGATTTCGCTCTCTCTGCCGATTTCCGCTTTTGCCGTTGCAATCTGAGCGCCAATTGCAATCGCCGTTTGGGCTCACCGTAAACAATTGCCCTTATCGACGTGTTGCTGCATTTCCGATTTGTTATTGCTGTTTGTTTCTGCTTGTTGCAGGCATGTTAATGGAGGCATTCAGGAATAATTTCGATTGTTGTGCGCTGCAGATTTGAATTGTTCGACAAGAAACATCCCAACCATAAATATACACAAAAATATCCAGCAAATTCCTAAGGTAACAAGAATAAATTCACATGGCTCTTGTCCGTAGTATAGAGGCTATTTGCATAATGCACTTTGCAAATGTATTTTTAACCGTGGTCTAAATTTAACCAGCTTCCTGCTGTGCAGTTTGCACGCGGCAGTTCATTTTCCTGCACCACTTACCCCCATTTCGTGTATTTCAAGCTTTGACATCATTTGCTTCATGTTACATACGCAGAAATTGCAATTTTCTTATATACCAACCTAGGTCAATAATTAAGAACGCACTGTCAACAAATTGCTTTTGTTTACGAAACATGCAACAAATAGTATTTTTTGTCAAGGTTAAAGCAATTATCGTATAATCATATTTCATGCAAGTTTTATAAAATATTATATATTAGTAAATACTTAAAAAATATAGGTTTAATGAATATCCTTAATTAAATTGCATACATTTGTTATACAAATAAGCAGTAAATTTAAAAAATAGCAATTTATTGATAACAACTAATGAAACATTTTTAAATACTTACAAAGATGCAATCTTTGGATCTTTTAATGCTTACCGTTAAGCACGTAATACTATACGTATTAATAAATGTATGGCAAAGGAAGTAAAATAATACTTATTGTTTGTTATTAATACTGGACACAATGAAATCTCTGTTGAGTCATTAAGTACTTGTCCAAATTTGATAAATACAAGTAGTTTATTGAAATGTAAGAGGTGGAAAGTATTTCCATACATCATTGCAAGTACAACTGCAATATACTGTTATTAATGACTACCATTTTCTACTTGTTCTTGTTAAGGTCCCATTATTTAATTGAAGATCATTAGATTGTCTACTAATCGTTTATATACGAAAACTTCTTTATTTTGTTTACACCATCAGTCCACTAAATTTGGCTGAGTTTCGAACTCGCCACCTTTGCATAGCCATTGCGCTATGAGCTGCGTTGAAGAAGTAAAAATACAAAATTATTTGTCAACTTTTTTAAAAAGAGATATCATCAAACATCTGGAAACATTACAGAACTATTGTTTTTTTTTTTAATTTCTTACCTGCATTTCAATGTAACTTTCTTTCCTTGTGATTTTATTTCAACTTTAAAAAAATATTCTAAGAAGGTTTCATGTCCTTTACCTGATTGACAAAAGCGGACGAGAGTACAAAAATAATTGCACGTTGAGTAGAATAGTAAATAATATTGGACTATATATGTTTTTTTTCTTATTGTTGTAGTTAAAATGAAATTGAATATTTCGTTCCCGGCAACTGGTTGCCAAAAACTGTTTGAAATTGTGGATGACCACAAAGTAAGAATATTTTACGATAAACGTATGGGATCCGAGGTGTTAGGCGATCCTCTTGGAGATGATTGGAAAGGTTATATCTTTAAAATAAGCGGCGGCAACGATAAGCAAGGATTCCCGATGAAGCAGGGCGTCCTGACGAACGGAAGGGTCCGTCTGCTCCTCAGCACAGGACATTCCTGCTTCCGCCCCAGAAGGGACGGTGAAAGACGCAGGAAATCTGTACGCGGTTGCATCGTTGACGGTAATTTGAGCGTCCTGTCTCTAGTGATCGTTCGCAAAGGCGATAAAGACATTCCCGGTCTAACAGACGTTTCGATACCGCGCCGTTTGGGTCCTAAAAGGGCCAACAATATTCGCAAATTGTTTAATTTGTCCAAAGATGACGATGTGCGTCAGTACGTCGTGAAGCGTCCATTGCCGGCCAAGGAAGGCCAAAGGCAACGCTTCAAGGCACCGAAGATCCAGAGACTGGTGACTCCTGAGCGTCTGCAGCGCAAGAGGCATCTTGCTGCGGCCAAGAACAAGAGACGAACCGAAGGCAAGGAGAAGGCTAACACTTACAAGAAGCTGCTTGCTCAGAGATACAAGGAATCCAAGCAGCGTCGTCAGGAAGCCAAGCGTCGTCGCTCTGCCAGTCTGAGGGACAGCAAAACCAGCGTCGAGAGTGCCTAAACAGATAAATTAACATGAACACATAATTTTGTTTCCCTTTGGTGTGCATATATTTATTCGTTACTTCTTGCACCTGTCTTTTCACGTTTATTTTTCAGTTTTCAAATTTAGCCTAGTAGTAATATTGTCATCACAGAATGTAAAACGCGTATAACTGATAAGAATGGGTAGATACATACAGAAATCTTAAAAGTTAATGTGTAATTTATCTCGCTCACCTTTGTTTTTTTTATTTCTTAGTGTTTTGAATCCAGTTTTCATTTAGTGTTTTGTTTGTTTGTGTGAACATTTTATTTAAATAAAGATTAAATAATATTTATTAGGCAATTTCCGTTTTTGTTTTATTTTTTTTCTCAATAAACTTAGAACCAAAGAAATGTTTGTACATTGTAAAATTACAATTATTTGATGAGTCTAGTATTTAGGATATATAGGGTAACTTACAAAATTTCTTTAATAATAAAATAGATGTGTCTTAAAATTTTAAATTATTTACTTAATGAATATGTACAAAATTGTAAACTAATTGTATTGCAAATTAAAGATGAAAATTTATTGAAACGTATATTTATAGATGATTATATTTCAATATTTGTTTTGTATAGAAATAAAATTTGACAATTGACCACCCTTATTTTAAATAATAAATATTGTAGACACTAATCACACAATCATTTTATTGATTTCGTTTTCTATATTATTAGCACGTGTCATTTACATCCGTAAACTGTCAGTAGCAGAAAATTAAGAGATAATGAAAAAATATTTGTATCTATTGATTTATTGTTTCTTAATACGACAATAATTCTATACTTATTTTCAGATTTTAAACTAAATGCTCGACTGTTCATAATGGACGGGACACAGATAATATATCATATTTTTCTTCGAATTCGGAGATAATTAATTTTTGGACTTTTGTATAATTAACTTTAATGATCTTTGTAATTTTCTTAATATTAAATCAAAATTTAATATACATTAATTATTTTGTGATACACATACATTAAAACAAAGAACTTGTCTTATTCACAATCATTGAATTGAAAGCACGTATATTACAATTATTATCATTAGTTATAGCTTAGTGTAAGCTGACTAAACCACTCATGAACAATGTAATCAGGATTATAAAATTGTAAAAAAAAATGGAAAAAACAGAACAGTCTTATCATTATATATTTTTTATGTTCGTATGTATATATTTCATGATAAATTATTTTACTGAACATTCTGTGCTTAAGACTATAGAATGGTTATTACTATGTTGTCGTGTCCAGTATTAAGAACTCTTTGGACACTTTGGATTATCTCGTTATGGAGTCTTAGAGGGGTTTATGAATATTAAATGCAATATTCTTAATTAGTTTTACTGTACACATCAGAGTTTTTATTGAGAAGTCAACTATGCAACTGTTGATCTCGTGAATTATTAACTAAGAGATACATTCTCCTCATAAGTTAATAATTAGGAAGACATTGTTCTTCCTTCGACTCTCCATGTAAGACCATGTTCTCACTTCAACACTCCAACTAAGATTATCTTCTTTCTTCGGCCCTCCAAGTAAGACTATTTTTATGATTCTACCCAAATGTTTAAGGAAGGAAGAAGGCTGTTGAGTGGTGATAAAATAAACGCAACTATTTGATTTCATGTGTAACCGATTGTATATTTGAAGGCTACGTGAAATATGCTTTGAACTAATTACTAACAAATCTACATATTAATTATACAATAAATGATAACAAAAAGGTCGTGGTCGTAACAAAAGGACAATACAACTGTGGAGGGAATTGACAGGATGCTGACATCTCGGCAATTTTGAAGAACTTCACAGCTGTTTTCCAGCATGTTAAATGTACCGATAAACCGTACTTAATCAGTATATAGGCAACATATGGTTTTAAAAAATGTGTGCAGCAGATTTTTATGTTTTCACTATGAATTTTGCCATTATTTTCTTAATTTTTAGAATCCAAGAAATCTGCTATTTTCGATACGTATTCAGTTTGATGAAATGAAGATATAAATTGGGTTTTTGCTACATTCTTAGAATTTGGAGAGACAACAAAGAGGGTTTACAAATACTGCGGTCAAGGATAAACCCGCACAAAATTAATTTGGAGTGTTTTATTGAAATAAATAGCATTAATAGAACCTTTTTTTTTATCACAATACAGAAGAACGTAGCTCTTGGACAAATTGGTGATGGATGTCTCTGCAACTGACGTAAATTATCTTCTTGAAGGACACATGAAGAGAAAGCCGAAGAGAAATAATTACATCTGAAAATTATACTGGTTCTTCCATTTAAAGTATTATTCTTATGTTAAATAAATCTTCTCCTTTCTCTTCACCTCATCCTCAATTGACTATTTGTTTTTCCTATTAAGATTATTTAATTTCTGCAATGCTTCAAAAACCAATAGTTTCAATTCAGTAATTGTCTTTTCGTTTTTCTCTATCATTTCCATCATCATTATCTTCTTAAACCTTAAACTTGCTCATCAAGCTTCCAAATTTTCTTGTTTCCTTCGGGGACCATCTAGTGAAATTTCAAAATTGAAATGCATAAGCATAATGCGCTCCTATTCATAAGAAAATACACAGCCTCATCCTCTGTATTTTCTTATGAAATAAGAATAATGCGCCCTTGTTCATAAATACACGGGATGGAATTTACTGAATTCGTTAATGTAATCAAGTAATTATATAAATTAAAAAGTTTTGTTAAATTTAGACAAAGATCATTTTAAGAAAATCTTAAGAGTAATGTAATTCAGTGATTCAAACAATTATAATTCTACCTAATCTCTCTAATCATATTTAAATACTATGGATTATGAGTATACTTTATTTTATTGAAAGATTGAATGAGAAGAGTGCTCGGAAGTGGAAAGTAAATATATTCCTTAAATAATTTATTTTATATTAATGAATACACGTTAATGCAATACAATGATGATGAACTTTATTTTAAAACTTATTTGTATATATTTACTTTTCGTCGATAAGTTTTTTATCTTTAAATTGAAATTGACAGTATATCTTCTGGCTACAGCATATACTATTATTAGTAACTGAATGTTGATAAGCAAATGATTTTAGTTAATATACATTATTGAATTGTGATTTTTTTTTCTCTCGCTGCTGTTTGCGTCGACTTCTGGTCAGTGGCGGATTTAGCACTTCAGAGGACCCAGGTGCAATTTAATTGTGTCTAAATATTTCCAATTCAAATATTTTTTTAGCTAAAAAATAATGACGGAAGTGTCGATTTCGAAGAGCAGCATTGAGGTTGTCGTGGGTCCAATTTAATATTTGAGGACCAAGACGCGCGCATATGCGTTAATCCGCCACTGCTCCCGGTCATGGGCAAGTATAAAGCAAGCCATTGAACGTGACTAAATGCCAGTTGTAGTGAGTTGTAGTTCTAGAGCTAGCCGTGAGGTTACATTTTACTGCCGGTTTATTTACCATTAACATCATTACCATCATCGAGTTCATAATCCTTTTTGTAGGCACAAACAATTCAGACGTTGATTACGTGGTGCACTGAAAGGAAAAAAAATTGGTAAGATTCTTCATTCAATCATTTTATTTGAACTTATAACATTCTATTGTATTTGCAAGAAATCAAACTAGTTCTGCTAAAATCATCATCATCCAGATATCCTAACTTTTGAATTTGTTTTAATTCATTTAGATTAGATAAAATTTAACACTAGGTATTATAATTTTCTTTCAAACAGTTTGTAAGTTTCAGTTTTTTAAAATATAATATTAAAAAAATATAAATTGTATGGTACTATTTAGATTAATAGTCAATTTATATGACAATATATCAAAGTTTGTTAATGATTAATATTAATTAATTATTTGCTAATTATACATTTTATGTTGATTAATTAAAAGTAAAAATTTATGTTTGTTTTAGATTTAAAAAAAAATGGCAATTAAAAATATATGCTGTCTGGGAGCTGGCTATGTTGGTGGACCAACTTGCAGTGTTATAGCTTGGAAATGTCCTGATGTTAAAGTCACAGTAGTGGACTTGAGTGTGGAAAGGATTGCACAGTGGAACTCAGAGAAGTTACCCATATATGAGGTAAGAATACAATCTCATTGCATTGAATTTATGAATTAAATTTATTCTTCTTGACTTGCAGCCACTCTTAGATGATGTAGTAAAGGAATGCCGAGGCAAGAATCTCTTCTTCACCAATGACGTCAAATCAGCCATCCTTGATGCGGACCTAATATTTATATCTGTCAATACTCCAACAAAAACCTTCGGCAACGGAAAGGTAAACAATTATTATTTCATTCAATGAAAGCATTTCGCAATTGCTGATATTGAGCAAA